TGGGAAAGAAGATCTGATGAGGAACAAAGTGAAAGGGACAAAAGTCATTCCTCGCTTAATCATCGTGTGATAGTGAGGAACCCAGATCTACTTCACGTAAAGAAGAGAAAAAACTAAGGTCTGGTTTTGATGGAAGAGAGCAAGAGGACAAAGACTTTTGGATCGATGTAGAAAAGGTGGATAGATTTGGTTCAGGCAAAAGAGAAGGAAGATGGAAAGAACAGAGAGGAGAGGAGAGGAGAGGAGAGTAAAGGAGGGAGGTTGAAAATGAAGTTATAAGGGCAAATGTGTAATTTTAACTTTTATAATTTTTTTTTCTCACTTCATGCTGTTGTTTGTTGGATGCAACGTGTAAATTAAATGCCACGCAAGCCATTAAAGAAACAACGTTGAGGGGCTCATTAACGGAGGGGCTTATTTGCCTCAGATGGGGGGTTAGAGGGCTTATTCGCATCAATTTTAGTTGAGGGACTCATCACTTGCTGTCGAAAAAGTTGAGGGGCTTAAGAAAAGTTTTTACCTTTTGTTTTCTTTCTTTCTTTCTTTATAGAACGGGAATACCAGCTGATGTGATATGCTCATTCAATTAAAAAAAGTGATAGATAATTAAATTAATACACCTTGTCATCCGACCAATAAAACTAACTGAATTTTACTTAACTGAGAAATAAGTTTCCGTTAGATATTTAAAGCTTCTCTCTCCCCCCGTCTACAGTCCACTCTTTAATCTCCTCAGCTCCTCAGTTTTCTATCTTCCCCATATCTCCCCTCTCCTCTGCATAATTTCTCATCCATGATATTAAATAGAAAATGGAAATAAATTTTAATTTTTTTCAATTCACCAATTGTGCCCTTTTTGAATCAACCCTCTAATTAGTAAACTCAAATCCAAAAGGATCTTTGGACGTTTGCCCCTCTTCTTCCTTGGTGGTTCACTTTCTTCATTCTTCCTAATAGTTCGAAGCCAAGAAAATAAAATTCCACACTAACAGAAACTTTATTGATGGTCCAAAAAAGAAAAACACAGAAACTTTAATGAAGTTTTAGATCAGGTGAGGTGAAGGAAATCTGGGATTTTAATATGGTTGGAGTAAGAGAAGTGTCTGAAAATTAAAAAAAAAAAAAAAAAAAAACTAGTAAAAAAGTAAAAGATGTTGAGATTTCCACCTTGAATCCCTTGAAAAAAAAATGAAGATTTAGAGAGAAATTAATGAAGTGAGCAGATGGATTTACAAAGTAATTTGATGTATTAGGCTTGGAAAAAAGAGATTAAGGTGGCCTGCAAGTGTCTCAGTGAAGGTGGAACACAGAAAGAAGAAGGATGAAGGCAAACAAACGGGAGAAAAAGGAGGAGGAAGGCACGTTGCGTTAAGTTCTTTGTAGCCTACAACATTATTACGTGTCAACTTATAATTGATTTGGGACACATGTTACGTGGTTTCACCGTGACATAGTACTTTCTCCTCATTATTCCCTCCCACTTCTCTGGTCTGCCCATTCATTTTACCCGCATTAGCTTTACAATTTTTATTAGTTTCTGTAAATAGCATATCATTTTTATATTAAAAATAGTAGTTATAGCTCTTTTAGCTGTTTTCCATTATAATTTTTCTTAATTTTAATATAGCTATACTGGTTTTTGGATTTTTTTTTT